GGATACGAGGGAAATAGCGGAGGATACCTAAATGGAGAACATCCACCAAAACTATAATAGTTCAATAAGAATTCAGAGTTACATGGACCAAGGAAGAACAAATTCCATGAGAAGTATAAATAACAACTCATGAATGCACCTGGGGTAGCTTGGTAGGCGTTGGTAGCGACGGTGATGGTGAGTGATCTACCTTCCTCTTCGGTGGTGGTGGCTCCCGAAACTCCATTTGTTCACTATGATCACTACGATCGCTGAAGGACGAGTAACGCCGCGGCTCATCAAACATCACGTCACCGTCTGAAGGCGAAACTTAAATAGAACATACATTAAGAAGTGATATATTTAAAAAGTGTGGTTGTAGAAGAAAAAGATGGTGAGAAGCTAGCAAAACTGAGAAAAAAAACTTGGTCAAAATTGACATTAAAATAGTCAAAGAAGCCTTTCTCTAGTGGCGATGACTCTTAAGTATTATCTAATTTTGGAACGAAAGATATTCAAAAAGGTGTCAAGAAGAAGATGAAATTCAAAAAAGGATTTTATGAGACTTAATTAAGTTGCAAAGTATATGTACATCATGTCCTTCAACGAATTTCTACTTTTGCTTGTAAACATAATAACAACTGAAGGACAAGCGACTAGCTCATTTAGATGAAATCAAATAAAGTCAAACCATTTTAGATTATAAAGACAATTATTCGAAAAAAATCAAAATAAAGCTCGTAGCTATAAAAGTCACCGTCAAACATCATATCCGAATCCCTTCTTGGTCTAGGCGAATGCTCCGGACTTTTTTGAAGTCTGGGCGAATGCTCCGGGCTTTTTTGAAGTCTGGGCGAATGCTCGCTACTTGGCCCAGAATTGGCTGAGATGTTTGCAGTAGCTAAAGAGAACAAAGCTATTTACAGAGTAACTAGTGTAAATAAATAAGCCTAAACAAAATACAAGCTTGTTCATAAAATCTTACTTGGCTCCGCATGAAATGAACGTCGTCGTGGTGAATCCTCGTCGCTTTCATCTCCATAATCTGCCAAAGTGTTCATCTGAAAATACCTCGATTTGATATCCGTCAAGAAGATTAGGATTTGAGGCGGAAATTCAAGAAAAAAACTAATTCGAAAACAGCGGAAATACAACGAATGCACGCTGCTGTGGCGCGTCCAATCTTTGTGTTGGAGCGCCTTATTCCAGCATACGCACCGGGCCGCGAACAGAATGGTCTTTGAACAAGTGCTAAAAATATCCCACTTTGTCTACTCATTAAAACAGGAATACCAAAACTCACAGAACTCTTTGCTATCTCAGAAAGTAACATGATAAATTTGGTAGAAATGGATATGGATGGAAACTGTATTTTGAAAAATCCTTCCTAATCAAGCGGCTTCCTGTAGACTGAACTTATAGGATCATTTTTGTTAGTTGCTTGACGAAGTAAGGTGACTCCCTCAAATGGAAGTGAACTACGCTCAAGGTAGGGACTAGCGTACTCCATGCTTTCACGTAGTATACCGGACTTTCCTGCATGTGGTGCATTTGCACATCAAATCTTGAATCCTCAAAGATAAGATGCGATTGTTCAAACCTTAAGTATGCATCATAAGCGCCTCGCGACCAATCATTAAATATATTTTGCTCTAGTGTCTTTAATTTTAGTGGGAGTGCTGCTACTCTCTGCCATAATACTGCCATTCGTGTTCTGGAAATGCGCTCCTGCAAATCGTCGCTTGAGAACAAGAGAAACTAGAACGAAGTATGGGCTAGACTAATTTCTTTTTCATGATATACTAACATTATATAATATTCACATTATAATAGCATGGATAGCAGCAATATTATACTCTCCTACTTAGAAATGGTTATGTTCTAATTAAAAAGAAAGGAACCATTACAGAAAGTTGCAAAAAACTTCTCATAATTACGATGGTCTTGAACACGTAGAGCATGGGGAAGAAGAAGCTCCAAAAACTGAAGGTTAAGTCCATTTTATGTGCCGAGTACAAAAGTATCGCCACTTATATTAGAATTCCCCTTTAGAGCAGATCAGACGGGAAATGATGTGGAAAGTTATAGAAAAGCTTCAAAAGGAAATGGAAGAGGAAGCAAAGAAAGGTCCCTCAAATGAGCAAGAAGAGTAAGTACAGCTAGTAAATAGTAAGCTGGAAAGAAAACAGAAGTGCAGAAGTATTCAATATATTGCGGGACATTTGGC